CAGTTGGTTGGAGCATCATCCCACACACCAAAAAAGGTACAAATTCAATCTCTGGTCAGGGTACCTATAAGAGGCATCCGATCAATGTCTCTCTCTCACACTGATGTTTCTCTCTCTCTCTTCCTTCCTCTCTTTCTCTCTTCCTTCCTCTCTTTCTAAAAAAATGAAAAGATATCTTTGAATGAGGGCAAAAAAGGATGAGAATCAGGTTTCTCACTGTCATAAGAGGGACAAATAATAGAAAGGAATAAATATAGGCTGAACCTATAGGGTTGTATTGGAGTTAAAGGCATGAGTATGAGCATATGGATTTCAACATATATTTATAGTTACTGATATAAATATAGATGTAAATGTATACATATCAATAAAGATATATGTGCACACACATTTATATCTATACGTGTATGTGTGTGTGTGTGTGTGTCCCAATTCTGCTCGCTGAGGAGCCTAGGAACAGGGAAATCCCAATAGTAATAAACAAAACTAATTCCTAAATCCTGGCTATTAAAAATTATTGCTTACTCCAAAGATACCAGGGCTCCTTGGAGAAACTGTGGATTCCAGCTCTGGGACAGGAAAAATATGAGCTGAGTGTGGAATGCCTAATTCTGCCAGAAAGCAAGGAAGTGCTGAAAGAATGATGGGGACTTGTTAGAAGAACACAAGAACTAGTTTGAACAGTTGCCCACTGGCCAAGGAGGGGACAATGTACGCATAAAAGTAAAATGATGATAGTAACACATGTCTATCCATTGGTAGGGAATTTTGGTGAAAAAACAGAAGAGTTATGAAATTTCAAAGTACCTCTGCAAAAAAAGAGGGTAGAGTACTTTATAGTGGAGAACTCGACTAACAACACCCAGTTAACTGACCAAAATCAACATTAAAAGAACATAGCACCACTTCTTTGTTATTTTTTTGCCAAACATCAATCACCTGTTGTTGTTTTTTTAATTATGAAGAAACATCAAACTGAATCAAATCAAAGAACATTCTACAAAATAATGGCTCATAATCTTCAAAAGAGCCAAGGCTGTGAAAGTATAGATAGAGAATTGTCCACAGTGAAGGACACGATAGAGATGTGAAAAATAAATGCAGGGGGAGATTCTGCTATAAATTATATTATGGAAGCATCTGGAAAAACTTGAATGCAGTTTGAGGATCAGATGGTAGCAATGTATCAATGTGAACTTTCCAATGTTGATGAATTGTAGTTATAAAGAGAAGTATGCTTGCTTATAGGAAATAGATACTATTAGTCATATGTGATAGGGCATTAGGTAAGAAACTTCTTCAAGAAAAGAATAGTAGTTTGGCTGTACTTCCAACTTTTTTTTATAAGTTTGTGGTTGTTTCAAAAAATTTAATAAGCCAGTCAGAGAAGAATAAGTGTTACATGATCTCACTCATTTGTGGAATATAATGAACAACAAAAACTATTGAACAAAAATAGATCCAGAGACATAGAAACACCAAACAGACAGTCAACCTCAGAGAACCAATCAAAGGACTTGTATGCGTGCTTATAAGCATAACCAATAGATACAGACAGTAGTGGGTGAGGGCGTCTGTTGGAGAGGGGGGTTGGGAGTGGTCAGGGAGCAGACTATGGGGTAAAAAAAGAGACATATGTAATAATTTCAACAATAAAAAAATTAAATTAAAAAAAATAAAAAAAATAGAAAGGAAAGAAGGAAGAAAAAAGAAAGAAAATGAAAAGAGTGGCAATAGAACTATCTTCAAGAAGGGGAAAGGACTTAAATAGATACGTTTCAAAAGTGGACATACAGAAGGCCAAGAGACACATGAAAACATGCTCAAAGTCATTAATCATCCGAGAGATGCAAGTCAAAATGACAATGAGGTACCATCTCACATCTGTCAGAATGACTAAAATCAGCAAATCAACAAACAAGTGCTGGGGAGGATGTGGAGAAAAACGGAACCTTGGTGCACTGCTAGTGGGAATGCAGACTGGTGCAGCCACTGTGGAAAACAATATGGAGTTTCCTCAAAAGTTAAAAATGGAACTCCCACTTGACCCAATAATCCCACTTCTAGAAATATATCCCAAGAAATCAGAAACACCAACCAAAAAGGATATATGCACCCCTATTTCATAGCAGCACAATTCACCAAAGCTAAGATCTGGAAACAGCCTAAGTGCCCATCAACAGACAAGTGGATTAAAAGACAGTGGTACATCTACACAAGTGGAATACTACATTATGGTAAAAAAAAAAAGAAGTTGAGAGCAGACAATATCTAATAGAATTCTTACTATTCACAACAGCATGAATATACATGGAAGCATTAAATAAGCCAGTTGGAGAAAGATAAATATCGCATGATCTCACTCATTTGTGGAATATAATGAACAACATAAACTGATGAACAAAAATAGATCCAGAGACAGAGAAGCATTGAACAAACTTCAGAAGGAAGAGAGGAGAGGGTATGTGTGGGAGAAGGGGGTGGGAAAGAGATCAACCAAAGGACTCATATGCATACATATAAGCATAACCAATGGACACAGACAGTAGGGAGGTGAGGACATGTGCTGGGCAGTCGGGGTGGCTGGGGAGAGGTCAATTGGGGAAAAAGGAGACATATGTAATACTTTAAACTATAAAGAATAAAAAAATAAATAACACACACGCAAAAAAAAAGGAAGAAGAAGAAGGAGCAGAAATGTGCTAAGGTAATCATTTCCCTCCCCCAAGAAAACACTGAGAGGTATTTTCAGTTGCTGAATATCAAATGTTTATTATTTAGTTTTCTACTACTGCTAGAATCCATTTCATAAGCAGCTCCTCTTAAAGCCAGCTTTTATTTCACAGAAATTGTATCCTTCCTCACTTCACTTTGAAATGTGCCATGCTGAGAATGGGGGTGCTTCAGGGCACAGCCACATGAAGGGTTTCCCCACCTTGATCCCCCTCACAGAAAGCTGCCAATACCTTAGGAAACACCTCTGCAGAGCCAGCCAGGTTATTCAGGTCAGCTGGAAACAGAGAACACCATACTTGATTCAAATTACAAATTCAGTATTGTACTGTACACATCCAGCATTACACATGCTTAAAATAATATAAGCATGCCTAATGACAAATCATATCTCAGTTGTTGTTTTTTTAATTAAAAAAAAATAAACTATAAACAGGCAACGACACATACTAAAACTACCATACCCTCATTTTTACCTATAGTTAAAACTATTGTTGAATACGCACTGGCTGTTTCAGAAGTCTTTGGCATGCACACAGGAAGCAGAGAAAATATCCAGGCTAAGAGTAACCACGTTACACATATCTGAGAATCCCCCAACCAAATCTATCTTGAAGGGCCAGGCCAGCTTCCAAGTGGCATGGTTTCTAGGAGAGGCCATCGTGCTGATGCTTCTTCACAAATCCTGGAAGTACAAATGCAGGCTCACCCACTGTGGTCCCAGGATGATGTCAGCCTCTGAGGGCAAGAGTGCCTGGTTGGCCCTCGCTCAGGGGAGTATCTCAAGCCGTGGAATTCCATCCAGGTCTGGATGGCTACTCCAGGCTGATGGGGCTCATTTCAACCAGTGGAGCCCAGAGGCAGCAGGGCCGGAGTTTGACGCTGAATAGATCATTGTCTCTACCCCAGGACCTTGATTACAAAAATAGCCTAGCTTGTAATTAATAGCACCTTGAAAACATAGGTAATGGTAGAAAACAGGGTCATAAAATGAAGTCACTTTCCATTCTGGTCAATGTTTCCTACCACTAATACCAAATCAAGAAAATATACTATTTTAATTGAATCTGGGGGGGGCGGGTGGAGATGTCTTTTTGGAGCAAAAATATTCTTGTAGGAAGAATATAGGTAAACCATATTCTTCAGAATATATATATATGTATGTATGTATAATATATATATATACTATATATGTATTTTATGGAGCAGTAGAGGAAAAAATATAGACATAGCTCCCTCCTCAGAGTGTCTATCAAATAGTAGAAGTACTTTTAAAAGGAAAGTTGAGAGCAGACAATATCTAAACTGTTGGTGGAGTGGCAGACTGGGGTTCAGAAGTTGGACAAGAAAGTGTACTGTGCACTAATGCATAAGTACAATATAGTCACACGTTGACACCTCAGAAATAAAATACCTACAGTTTTGAAGCAACTCCTCCACTGTCTGATTTAACAAGGGAAGCTCACCCTACAAGAAGAGGTAGTCTGTTAGTGGGTTGTGGACATATGCTGGCTGTCAGCTGCCTGTTTGCTTTGTAGGCTCAGTGCCCTTGGAGTATTCTAACAATGTTTGTAGATGTGTGTGTGTTTTACTGGCTAGAAGCAGATGTGAAAGTGACCCCATTCCAGCCAGGTCTGTTTGTTGGCACACATGACCCCGGCTTTCTATAAAGTTGCTCTGAGGCAGTCTGTTACTATCAGTGTTGACTGATATAGTTACTGGTCCAGTTTGAACAAAGCTTCAGTAGAAGATGTATGTAGTCAAATCAAGCCAGACACTCCAGGAAAGGAGGAATTCTTGCACTTCAAGTAGGTGGGAGATGGCCAACGTGGTTCAAGCCTGGGTGCTAGAGAGTCCCAAGTTATGAGCAACATCTGTAACAAAAAGGTAGCATAAAATCTTTAAAAGCTCTCCATGTGCCAGTTCCCTTCCTCAAGTTTTCCCCTTTTTCTGCCTCTTATAATCACGTGCACACGCACACATGCATATACACACCCACAGACACAACCCATCCAAACTTTTCTTTATCAGTCAAAGCCCAGCACCAGTTCCACATTTTCCATACAGTTTTACTCGGCCCACTCTCAACTCTTATATAACAGATTGTATCTGAAATGTACACTTCGCAATTGCATACTTCTGACATTAACACGTAACTCCACCCTCCGTGTAAACATATCACCTCTCCCGATGACAATTACAAACTGAAAACAAGGACTGTCTTGGGTCTTCCCTCCCTCTGCCCAGTACACTCAGTGCAGTGCTATTCACATAATAATCTTTCAATAAGTATTTGACAGAGGTGCTGGGTCAGGCTCTGCTTAGACTTTCAGAATACAGAGAAGGAAGGTCCTGCTTGCCCTCAAGAAGCTTACTCTCTGGCCATTTGCACAGTTATTTGTTTACATCCAATTGGAAGAGATATGCTAGGCTTGGTGGGTGGAACATGAAACCACCCACCTCTGATTTCAGCCTCAGGGGGTGGTCACCTCTGTGCATGCTGAGGGTTCTAGCACAAAAGCCAATGGTGCATTTCTCTGCTTTTCTGCCTCAGGGCTTTCTCTGAAGACTTCTGAGCCACTCATCCCAAGCACAGAGCACAGCTTAGGGATGTGGAAGATTAAGGTGCTCTGTAGGCAATCCTAAACCAGGGCGGGTGGGAGCCATTGAATAATGCCCCACTTAGAGGAGACATCTGTACACTCCTCAGAGACTCTGTGGCCTCTAGCTGAGATCTCAGTAATGCAACCTTCATTTGTTTCCTCCTTATCTGTCTCACTCTCCTTGTTCCCTCACCCCTTCTTCTTGGGGTCACCTATATTACTTGCCCCCAAGACTCTGCCTCAGGATCTGTTTTAAGTGTTCCATACCAAAGCAGACACATTATTAAGAGCACAGAGATTAAGATAAATTATTTTTTAAATAGCAAAGTTATATGAAACACAAGCTCTTTGCTAATGTCAAAGCTATGGTATCAATTTCTGAGTAATAAAGACTCCCTGAGTACCAATAATTTCTTGCATCTGAAAAGTGAGATGAACTAAAAGAGCATTTAGCTCCCTTTCTATACTTTAATTCTATGGCAGATGTTTTGTGTGTTTCTTTAATATAAGTTCTTCACCACTGAGTTGTGGCAAAAATGCAATGGCTTCTGTCTCATCATATACCTCATATGACTGCAACCTCTAAAGCATAAAATTAACATTTTTCTACAATAGATGCTTCAACTTTTTTGAATGCTTCTCAACTTAATTACACTCAAGTTAACAATGCTTAATTTGAATGGAAAAGGTCAAATTCCCACCTAACTGGCCTTCTGTGATATATCCAAGTTCTTTAAACTTGCACATTTTAACAATATCTTCACCAATTCCTCATTCTTTATCTTGGTAACACAACCCAGATCTCTCTTCCAAATCTCAGTCTAAAATCTCCATGTATCTATATATCTCCCACAATACCTCACTTAGATTTTTGCACTTAATTGATATTCAGTAAATCTCATTGTATGACTTAATGAACTTCTTTAACAAGGGAGGCTTTGAATAACCTCAATTTTTAAAATATCGATTGGAAAAGTTATTTGATACAACAGTGATTTATGAACTTGTTTGTTTAATTTTAATAGTAGTTTATAACTTTGTTTATTTTCAATACCCTGGAGAAAAACATAAAATCAGGTAAAAATAAGAGTTCATTTTTTCACAGAAAATAGGAAAAGTAAGACTGAGAGGCATTATTCCTCCCTTTAAAATCATAAATTAAGCCCAGTGTGGCTCAATGGTTGTGCATGGACCTATGAACCAGGAGTTCAGGGATCAATTCCCAGTCAGGGCACATGCCCAACTAGGGAGTGTGCAGGAGGCAGCCGATCAATGACTTTCTCTCATCATTGATGTTTCTATCTCTTTCTCCTTCTCCTTTCCCCTCTGAAATCAATAAAAATATGTTTTTTAAAAATCATAAATGAAAATTCCAGGCTTACTATGAAGACAGCTCTTTTCTTCCCGAAGCCCTAAAAGTTGCTGTACCTTTGATCCCAGGCTTCTTTGCTGTGTTCACCGCTGCCATGAACATGTACTCACTGTTTGCATCGTGCACACTGGCTTGATGCTTCTGAAAGAGAAAGTCAGACAACAGGTTGGTCATCTGCTCTCTCCCATCTCCATCCCTGTTTTTGTTTGTTTGTTTGTTTGTTTGTTTGTTTGTTTGTTTTGGTTTTTGGTTTATTTGTTTACCGTTTTCTATTCTTTGTTGGACTGGTATGTGACAAATGCTATAATGGGACTTAGGGTCCTGGCTTTCAACTAAGTAGGAGAACAAAATGAAAAGGACTTTAAATAAAAAGAGCTGACTTCCTCATTTGGCCTTTATTGTCTTCTGTAGAATTAGGTGATGGGCTTTATCTCATTCCTCTTCGTTCTTTATCTCCTTTTTTCATACTCCCTTTGGCACAAATATACTCACTGCTACCCCTGGGTATTAGCAGATTTGCATCATATTCAGGGAGGTATAAGTTCTTTGAGAAGGTGTATTGCAAAAGGCTAAAAAGAATATTCTCAGCACAGATTTTTGTTGTCATTATTGTTGTTGTTTTATCATTCTGCATAGCTTTTCAGTGGTTTTTCATAAAAAATAAGGAGCCCTAATAATTTACCATGGAAACAAGCTAGCCATTTACTTCTCAGCTACTACTGGTACCTTATAAGATTTTATCACTGATTATTTCTTAACTAGCCAATGGAGTAAAATAGAACAGTTTCATCTTTGTCCCGACTCTTAGGAAGCTTAGGATAAAATGTGCAGCCCACATTAAATAATTTTTAAAAGCAAGAAGTATCAATTTTTATGTTTTTGCCTTCCTCCTGACTTTTTGTCTTTTATGGGCTTCAATTATCTCATATTTGTTAACATATCTCTTTGTAAGCCATTGAATAAGTTTTGAAATGAAGCAGTTGTAAAGCTTAGTTTAGTTAGTAGGTATATCTTGAGAGGAAAAAAATATATAGTCTTCCTGTTGATCCATGTACTCTGATAAGAGTAATATGTACTTTGATGAGTAAGTTTTCACTGATGTTCCTAAGTAAAGTTGATTCAAAAAAAGATAGATATCGCTCACCTTATTTTTAAGCCAACAAAGAAATGTGCATCCAAAAATGAAGACGACACCAAAAGCTGCACATCCTATGGGTAGCCAGAACTTCAGCTGGCAACAAAGCTGTGATTCTGGGTTAGAAAAAAGAAACGTTAAGAACAAATTCTAAAAATCAAATCTCCTCTTTCAGGGCTGAATCCCAAGGTGTGTTTTTTTTTTTTTGTTTTGTTTTGTTTTGTTTTAATGTAAAGAACGATTTAATCAAATGAGTTTATCTTCATTCATTGAAACCATAAAACCCAGTAAATAGTAAAACATCATTTTAGTATTATAGCCAGGATCCAAAAACTAAAACCTAAAAGACTGTAAGCACAAATATGTTTACAAATGGGACTAATAAAAAGGACTTTTCTATCTATATTTTTGCAAAAGAATAAGTAGAAAAAAGTAATGACATAAAACTGTTCTTTTTAGTCACCTCACTGAATTCTGCAAATTCAGCAAAAACCCACAGCCTTATGTGAATAGAACTAATAGTCATTAACCATGGGTTTGGATATTTGTCTACATTTTTCCTGATTTTTGATGGCATATGTGTTGTAGTTATTTTTTCATATTTTTATTGATTTAAGAGAGGAAGGGAGAGAGAGAGGTAGAAACATCAATGATGAGAGTCATTGATTGGCTGCATCCTGCATGCTCCACTGGGGATTGAGTCTGCAATCCAGGATTTGCCCTGACTGGGAATCAAACTGCGACCTCCTTGTGCACAGGTCCCACTGAGCCATGCCAGCTGGGCAATGGCATATTTGTTTTAGAGACAGCATGATCTATTTCTAACTCAGCAATCTACATTATCAAATGGCATATTACTGATTAATATCTATTATTATTAATAAACTAGAGACCGGGTGCATGAAATTCGTGCCCTGGGGGTGGGGAGTATCTCAGCCCAGCTTGCCCCCTCTCACAGTCTGGGAGCCCTCAGCGGGGAGCAAGCCTAAGCCACAGTCTGGCCTCCCTCTGCAGGAAGTGACCAGGCTGATCAGGGGAAGGCGCCATCCCCATCACCCTACTGCTGCTGCCACTGCCAGCCACCACAGCTGCCAAGGTGTTTTCATCAACATGTACTCCAGTCCCTTCACCATGAAAAATGACAACTTTCTTTAGGCATTTTCAAGATGTGTCTTTCATAGGATATGTTTCCATTGATTTTTAGAGAGCTTGGAAGAGAGAAACATCAATGTGAGAGGGACACTTTGATTGGTTGCCTCCTGCATGAGCCCTGGTGTTGGCCATGGTCAGGGAGGAGCCTGCAATCTAGGTACATGCCCTTGATCAGAATCCAACCAGACCCTGTAGTTAGCAGGCTGAGGCTCTATCCACTGAAACAAACCGGCTTGAGCAGGATATGACATTTCTTAGCCCCTCCAGCAGTGGACTTTCATTTTTTCCTCCAGGACTGAGGTGGAAAAACCCTAGACCACCTTCTTGGATTCTTATTACCCAAGTTATCAAGAATACTGCAAGTGGCGGTGTACAGGGAGCCTAGCCAATGAGTGGTCAGAAAAGGTATAAAAGGTGTTTTTCTCTGCAGCTCATACATGGAGGCCCCCCCTGTGTGTGTCCGCTGGGGTGGGGTCATGCTCCAGGCTGTGCCACAGGCTGCTGGGAGCAGGCCCCCACCCCTGTGTGTTTCCACTGGGGGCCTGCTCTTAGCCATGCTGTGGTGGCTCAGAGCAGGAGCTCCTATGTGTTGTGTCTCTGCTCTGGCTTGTCCCCATCTCCAGCCTCCCCTAGGCTGCTGGGGCTGGGGGTGGCACTCAGTCCCCTCCCATCCATCTGCATGCGCAGCTGACTCCTGAGCCAGTCCATCCCAGCTAATTTGCATATTACCTCTTTTTATATATATATATATATATAGATCATTCCTTACATATCTTCATCATCATAAGTAATTGTCATCAATTGCACCTAAATGAACTCCAACCCAAAATATACTTATTTTTTTTTCATTAGCAAGAAAAGTTGTCAAAATGCATATGTATATTTACAACCAGAAGATGAAAACAGTATCTTACCGTAAATATGCAAATATTCGCTCTTGATCATCTCTTGAAAAGGAGGAGGATCAAAAATTGATAGTTTGCAGGAGTAATAGCTGTCATGAGAACTGTCCAAGTTATTCAGAAAGTAAGAGACACTGTTATTGGATGGTTGACAGGATTTCAAACTCCATTTGGATATGGTGTTTCCTTTCTTTGTCTTACTGAAATCACAAATTACTTGCGTCCCTTTCATCAACTCCATTCTAAATTGCTGGACATTCTCAGAGCATTTGCATAACATTTGTACACCTCCATTGTGAAATGTAAATATTTTAGACTTGGCAAAATCGTTTTTTTCTGGATAAAAAGGGGGGGAAAAACAACATTTTAGAAATAGGTTGCCCTAATAATTATATTTGAATACAAAAGTAATCTCTTCATAAAGTCACCTGTATTGTATAAAAATGGGGAAAAAAAACTTCACAACAATAAAGAACATAATAGTTAAAACTGTGCCCTAGAAGAACCCTAAACAGAAGCTTGTCATATATGAATATATAATATGCAGCATATTAGACAATATATTTACAGAGTGTGAATGAAACAGATATGGTTCCTGACCTTTGGCAACTTCCATATTGGAAAAAGATGGTAAACAAATAAATATGTAGTAATGCACCATAATTTGTGTAAGGTATGAAGAACTAATTGAATGAAGGCGGTGATACTGGTTCTAATTTTTATTGTAAAATCAAAAAATGCCACTTTTTGGCTGGTGTGGTTCAGTGGTTAAGCATTGACCTATGAACCAGGAGGTCACGGTTCGATTCCCAGTCAGGGCACGTGCCTAGGTTGTGGGCTTGATCCCCAGTAGGAGGCATCCAGGAGGCAGCCAATCAAAGATTCTCCCTCATCAGTGATATTTCTATCTCTCTCTCCTCTCCCTTCTTCTCTGAAAGCAATAAAAATATTGTTTTAAATAAGAAAATGCCACTTTGAGGAAATTATTTTTAATATTGAAATTGAGGGAGGATTTGCACTTAGTCAAACAAGGAGAGTTTTGGGAAGATATTTTGGGAATGATACAGTTAAGAAAAAATTTTTAAAAGTACAAATAGCTTACACTAAAAATAAGTGAAAATATTTAAATATACATTGATAGTATACTCTCTTGCTAAAGTGTAAAAGAACAGATGCATCATTTTCAAATGATAGAAATGTGTGTCTTCTCAGAACCTCATCCAATAAAAACTAAATTAAGGTCTGATGAAAAAGGTAAAGCCCCAAATATTTATTTACTGTTTCATTTTTTAAAATTAATTTTAATCTTCTAGGAAGCCAAAGTTGTTTTTGAGAGCTACATAGGAATCACAGAAAGAGGAGACTGAGATGGTTTTGGCCTAGCTACAGATTCTGAGTTATTAGATTACTCAGCTCAGCCTGCACCCTTTTGCAGTCTGGGAGCCCTTGGGGGATGTCCGACTGACAGCTTAGGCCTGGCTTGTGGCTGAGCAGCACTGACCACCAGGGGACAGCTCCTGCATTGAGCATCTATACCCTGGTGGTAAGTGCAGATCATAACAACCTGTCATTTTGTCATTTGGTCAATTTGCATATTACCCTTTTATTATATAGGATAAGTTCAAACTGCGCATTGCTTTCCTTTTTTTCTTCTTCCTTTTTTTTTTAAAAATGTGAGAAAGTTTTATGCTGAAATTGTTTTGGGAAAATATTATCATGAAAGTTTTCTACTTGTTTTAAAATCTCTTTCTATATTCTGAAATGTTTGTATATTTTTGGGTTTTTTTTTTTTCATCCATATACATACTTGTTTTATATAGCAAACATATTATTTTGTTTTTCTCCATTGTCCTTTAATGATATATCATAAATGTTCCATTTTGACATAGTCATCATAATTATCCTTTTTATGGTGGTATAAAAGGCCATAATGTTATTCTATCATAATTTGTTAAAGCATCTACTAATGCTGAAAGAACTGCTCCAATTTATAATGTGATTGGCATTATGCATAACTTAAAATTTTGACAAGTGAAGTATGCATGGTATGATAATGACTAAAAGGATAGATAGAAACAGAATATATAACCTCAGTGAATATTACAAAGTTCAGTTTAAAGGGGAGAAGAGTTGGAATAGTTGACATCAGGAAGGAAAATACAAGCATGGAAGACTTCTATGTGCTGACAATGTTTTATTTCTTAATGTTTGTGCTTGTAGGAATGAGGTAGTATGCTTTATAGCTTACTCATGAACAGAACATTTATATTTGCTCACTTTTCTTTATAGATGTTTTGTTCTAGAATTAAAATTTTTAAAGTATAGAAAAACAATGCTTAGTTCGTTTTTAAAATAGAGGGAGTAATATAAGCTAAGGGGAAAGAACCAATAGCATGAGTATAGATGAAGTCTGTATTATATGAAAATAAAAGTTGTTTTGCTTGAGGACTTACTTGTCTGAGTAAATTATGTGCTACTATTGTTTTGATGCTTATGTCTCTACTGCTCTACTGTCTGCTGTAGAAGATAAAAGCAGTGGGCTGGTTCCTTTAGAAATAATCATAGTAAATTTCTCAGGGACTTTACAATGGCACTAAGTAAACCACAAAGACGTCTTGGAGCAGCCACTGTGTGTACAAACAGACCTAAATGCATTGCTCTCTATTTCTGAAGATGATTTTGTCATCATATTTTTCCCCTTTTGTGTCCACACAAAATGGTTGGCAGTACAAGATGTAAGAAGTCCAATTCAGTGGTTCCCAAGGAAACCAAAAGCAAATTCTGGCTCTGGCATTAGCAAGCCTCTGTGACGAGAGTACCCCTCTTGACTTCTTTTCACCTGTGAAAGGATTAGTGTCATGGTTATGGTTAGGGTTAGGAAGTTAGAAAACATCTTATTAAAGTTTTCTCTAACTACTAGTCTCCATGGATCCAGGACCAGAACATACCATCTGAGACTGCAAATAACCAAGAAAGCTATTACTTTGTTGTTGGGTCTTCCAGAGAAGAAACCATGTTCCTATAGTCCCCTCTCTGCCCAGCATCTTAGTGGGCTGTTTCAGGGCATTAGGAAAAAATGTAAATGAATGAGACAATCTTATTTGCCCATAAAAGTATTTGGTAGGGCTAGAAAGACTATCTCAAGTTTTCTTGAGTGACAGTGCCAAGGGTTGGTACCATTGACATCAGAGGAGTAAGTGGAGATATGCTCCTAAGTATCATTTCTACTGGACATGCTTAATTTTTTTATTTTATCATAATTCATGTAAAAATTACTGGTCATCTCTTTATTATCAAACTAGAGGCCTAGTGCAGATTCATGCACTGGATCCCTTGGCCTGGCCTGTGGAAATCGGGCTGAAACCAGCTCTCTGACATCCCCTGAAGGATCCCAGATTGCAAGAAGGTGACTCACCCCGGAATCTGGCTCCCTCCTCTCTGGTTCCAGGTGTGTTACCCAAGAACTGCAGCTGCCAAGTCATTACATCTCGGCAGCTCCTTGGTGGTCAGTGCATGTCATAGCTACTGGTCGGATGGTCAAATGATCAAACAATTGCTTAGGCTTATATATATATAGATGTAGTGATAAATAGCCTGACTTAAGTTTCTACATATTCAGTGCTTAAGTTCTCCATCAGAAAAACCACTTGGCAAATTTGTTTGCAATTTGAATGGTTTCAACTAAAGAAACTAGGTATGGCATTTAATGAATTGCTTCATAATTATTTTGGCATCTACAGAACAGATATGCTCAAATACCTAATCACAAATTCTCCTTAATCTTTGGTGACATTTGAAAAACAGTATCAAAAAGGAGGTTATAACTATAACCAAGACTCGATTATTTAATTGATAGATAGACACTTTAAGGAAAATCTGTGTATTATTTTATACAACAAGAGAAGCAGCTAGAATCTTTTCTTCACTCTCCCTGGATGTTTTTATCTCCAAGTCTAATTAATATAGCCAGTGCTTGGGTGTCATTTCTGCTTGATCAGTTCCTCTGCCACATCAATAATTAAAAATTGCAAGTGTCCCCTTCACCAATCTCTTTCATCTTGCCCTTTGTTCCTTTCTCTCATGCTTGAATTTTCTCCAGATACCAACTCTTAATATTAAATCATCCTTCCAAATGTCCTCGCCCACACTATCCTCATTCTCCCTAACATATCATCTCTATCTCAAATACCCATACATTTCTCATATACATTGCTTGTCCATGTTTCAGATACGCTTGTACCAGTAAATACCCCCACACTCATTCATATTTTCTGTAACATCAACCTCTACCAGCAATCATATGTAGTCTGACCTGGTAAACTTAGAAATCATACATCAAGTCTGATTCTTCCAAGTACAGACAACTGACGGCTTAGGCAGTTTAGATTATTTGTCTATAAGGTCACATAACTTCTTGGGTGCATGAAATATTTGGGGTTTAATTTAAAATTGGAGTGCCACTAGCAACAACCAAGGGAAGGGTTATGGAAGTAGGGAGCCATATGAAGCTAAACGGTGTTCACCACAGACTGAGTCTTATAAGACCACTGTTAAAATCTGTCTATGGGAAGAAAGTCTAATTTCCTGTTTTATGCCCAGTAGAATGTATTCACTTCTCCATCTAAACTACAACTGTCCAAACCAGCATCATCTATCCCTGGGACTATAAGAGCTTCCTAACTCTCCGTTGTCATTCTTTCCCACTTACCATCCATTTTCCTCAAGGAAACCAGTATGATTTTCTAACACACAAAATTGGATAGTGCCGTTGCTATGCCTGTATCTCCCAAGTTCATAAAGACGTATTTAGATGATTAATGATTCTCTTGTCTTTTTTTATGTCTTTAGAGGGAAGGTCAGGTTTAAATCTGGTTGGTTATTAGGACCACCAGAGTGCGCAGCCATTATATTTGTCCAATGTACAGGGCTCTGGGACCAATGAGTATTCTAACACACCTAGATGTTTCATAATCACAGCATGTGAGTGATTTCTGCTTCAAGTGCCATGCTATATCTTTTAGCATTTAATACATTATTAAAAATAGGAATATGTTCTCTTGAATCCTGGTAAGGAGTCTTAGAATTTGGTTATTAATTCTTAGTTTTTTTTGTTGATATTGTATCTATTTACTTCTTGTTGGTACGCTCAGATTATAAATACTATAGAGCAGTGTGCCTTTTTCATTTCATAGCACACATAAACTAATTACTAAAGTTCTGTGGCACACCAAAAGATATATTTTTTGCCAATCTGACAAAAAAAAGTTAAATTTTGACTCATTCACAATGGATGGCTATTGTTGTGTTGGCTGTTGTCATTTTTTTTTTGTTTTGTT